GGAATTATTGTGGATTTAGAATCCACCTAGGTTGGAACAGAATTCCAAATGTAGCCTGAGTTGATATGAAATTTAGATTCCACTTAAGTTGATTCCAAACTCGCCGATGCATAATAAATGTGTAATAAATGTGTAATTGATTAATAGTATATGATAGTTTACGATAATTAATATTACGTATTATAAAGAAATAAATTATGCAAATTTTCTATATAAATTTAAAAGATTTTTTATTTTTTTATTCATTTTAAAATTATTTCTCTTTGATGGCCGAATCTCAAGATTATCCATTTTTATCCCGCGATGCATTTAAAGAGTTGCTTGGCAAATTTCTTGACGGTAAATCGGTTAATAGGCGACGTAAAACTTTTATCATGCGTGAAGATTTTGACTTTTGCATTAGCATTTTACAAGACCCTGCAAATACTACGATTGGAAATGCAAAAGATCGTTACTGGGCCAAAAAAACGTTTGCCTTACGTGATCTTGGGACACCAACTAACCCCATATTGCAACTTATAAAAATTGATTCAAACCTACCTGTGTGCCCTGTTGATAAGTTATATGAAATATTGTGCAATTTACATCAAGGGATCTTGAAACATGTTGGTTCAACAAAACTTTGGGAAGCGGTATATAATCTATAGATTAATTAAAATGTAAATGTTAATTTTTTTTTATTTTTTATTTATTTATTATTATTATTATTATTATTATTTTACAGATTTCTGAACAATACTGCTATATTCCACAATCCTTTGTTAAAGAATTCGTAAAAAATTGCACAACATGTGCAACGCGAAGAAATTTTCCCAACCCTGTAGCAGCAAAGCCTATAATTTCTAGTGCTTTTCTCAATCGGGTTCAGGTCGATTTGATTTCTATAACCAGTATTCCCGATAGTGATTATCGTTACATCTGTCACATGCGAGATCATTTTACTCGATATTCTTGGGCCCGGGCTCTAACAAGCAAGCGACCAATTGAGGTTGCTATTTTTCTTTTTGATATTTTCGTCTGCTTTGGTGCTCCAATTATTCTCCAAACCGATAATGGTCATGAGTTCACAGCAGAAGTAATCCGTGAATTATTAACTATTTGGCCTGATGTTCATATTATTAATGGCCGTCCGAGGCATCCACAAAGCCAGGGCTTGTGGAACGTGCAAATGATATTCTTCAGCAAAAAGTGTCTAAGTGGATGGAAGATACCGGAAGGAAGGATTGGTCTCGAGCAGTACCTTTATGCTGTTGTAAGTAATTTGTTTTTGATTTATTATTTTAATCTAATTAATTAATTATAATATCTTTAATAGATGCAATGAATATCCAAACGTCAAGGCAAACTAAAAATAGTCCATATGCATTAGTATTTGGACAAAACCCTTTGCGTCATTTTGCATTGTTAAAAGAAATTAAAGACCAACATATTAATTTGGAAGATGAGTTACCTGAGAATTGGTTCGAATCATCCGAGCCTCAAGATGATTTTGATCGACAAGAAGTTGTAGAATCGCTTTTAGGAGCCGCAGCATTAAATGTAGAGGTAATTTTTATTTTTTTTTTTTAATATTTATTTATTTTAATTTATTCTTTTAGGAGCAACAATTGCTCGAAGAAATAATTAATGAAAAGTCTAATGAAATAGTGAATAACGAAATATTAGATAACATGGTAGATAAAAGGTTGGACAAGCAGTTAAGTGAAAGTATAAATGAAAGGTCAGGCGAGAAGTTGATAACTGAAAAAGAAAATGTAGTGATAAATGTAAGTATTTAATATTATCTCTAATAAAAAAAAAAAATTTAATAATTAATAAAATTTTATAAATAGATATCTGATGAAGAAAGTGTTTCAGAAAATGAAGCGGTTCGTAGAAGTTTACCTGAAGATGAATTAGTTGGTAGAATTTTATCTGAAGATGAAACATTTGGTAGAAGGTCACCTGAAAATGTTTTTGATGTTCGTCCAAGCAAAAGGTATAAACCTTCAGTTTTGACAACTACTGCTACAAGTATCAACACTCAGGTAATTATACATTACTTTATTTCATATATGGTATAAGTTAAATTTATTTTTATTTTGCAGTCTTCTTTAGACAATCATGGCCCTAAACGTACTCTTTGGAATAGGAATAACATTCAAAAAACATCAGCTCACGAAATTTATCGAAGTGTTGCTACAAAGTCTCTCGAACAATATCAGAATAATATGAAATCACAACTTAATAAGCGTAATAAAAAATTTAACACCAAGTACAATATTGGCGATTTAGTGCAAATCAAGATTCCCAATATTGATAAAACACACAATGATCGAAAAACACTTCCATGCAAAATTCTCGAAGTATCAAAAAATGGCACATATAAACTTGGATGTAAATCCGGCATTATTAAAGTTACATATAATGCAAATGAAATTCTTCCTTTGGGTCCTGACAAGTTTCCCGAATTGGACAATATTCCTTCAGCACTCATAGGTGTC